TGCTGTTATGTTATGTAATTCTGGGCTGTAAGCTTTGGTCTGATATTCAATCATTACACGACAAAGGAGCCATAGTTGGTTTATGAAGGCACGACAAAGGAGCCATTTGTTGGTTTATGAAGGCATGAGCAGGGAGCCATTTGTTGGTTTATGAAGCCACGACCAAGGAGCCATGTATTGGTTTTTGAAGTCACGACCAAGGAGCCATTTGTAGGTTTATGAAGGCACGACCAAGGAGGAATTTGTTGGTTTATGAAGGCACGACCAAGGAGCCATGTATTGGTTTATGAAGGCATGACGAAGGAGCCATTTGATGGTTTATAAAGGCCCGAGAGAATGCACGAGTAATGTTTTGAATATCGAAGGTGACCCCAGAGACTTGCCAGAGCAATCAAGAGCACATATATGGATCAAAAGAGTACAGGTAAACCTCCAGGTACTATATCCCGATCAGCAATATTCCGCTTTAACGACGGTCATAAATTAAATCCGTCTCGCTATATACAATCAAAATAACTCCCTTTAACGATATCCGTCGAACCGCCGTCGATATCCATCGCTTTGAATTTTTTTATCTCTGGTGCAAACTACGGGTTGTACAGTACACAGAGGCAAACCCGGAGATTCGACGGGGTTATGTTGTTGAAAACCCATCGGCAGGTGAATTATTGTAAATGGGGAGCATTATAGCATGGGGTACGTTCCCAGCCAGTCCCCCAACACTTGTATCACAGACAAATATAATGCTGCAATACTACTCTCTGTAGATAACAACACTCACCACATCATAATTGACAAGTCTGGTCATCACTACATGTCCCTTTGAGGCTAAGGGGACTCTTGTAGGTGGAGTGTAGACGTCACTCTGGGGAGTCCGGAGAGGATGGAGACAGTGGGAGTCGGAGTCCTAGAAGGGTCTTCTACAGTGGGGGATGGAGGTGTAGGCTTTGGTTTAACTTTAAAGAGGGTGAAGTTCCTGGGTGGGACTGGAGAGGTGTCAGCAGTGGAGGGTTGTGGCTCTGACTGTGGCAGGGGTTTGAAAAAGGAGGTGATTGTTGTCTATTGCGCCTCCTTCTTCTTCTTCTAAAGGTACAGCTCCATGTAGCAGAGCATGCCTTTCACCACCACTGGCCTCACAGATGAACTCCTGTTGATGTTGGGGGTCATTCTCAGCCAGCAGATCCATGGCAGTGTTCATGTGGTCCATGGCAGTGCTCAACACCTTCAGAGTCAGCGTCGTGGATGCAGGGTTGTCCTCCTCACCCGTTGACTCCTCCATTCTCTGCTGTTGTTCCAGGAGCAGCAGGTCCTCTGTATTGAGCTTCTCAGAGTGGCTCTCCAAGACCTCAACCGCATTAATCAACCTCCCGAAAGCCGGCCTTCTGGGAGATGCCGGTGATGTTGAGGCGTACGGCTACAGCGTCGGTGAAGCCGCGGAAGTTGCACGCGCACTCGGACCACACTTTTCTCCACGCGCCGTTCGTGCAGCTCTGTGTGACCTCCTTCCACGACTTCTCAATGTTTTGTATGGCGTGCTTGATGTTGTAGCCGTGGCAGAATTGTTCGACGGTCACCTTTCCCTCTCCATCTGTCGCCTCAAACAGCTGCTTCATTAATCTCCTCAAGTAGTCGGCCTCGAAGGTCGTGACGACGCTCCGATCCATCGGCTGGACGAGCGAGGTGGTGTTCTGGCCAGAAACATCACACTGATGTCGTCAGTCCACTCACCCATCCCAGGCGGGTGCGAAGGTGCATAGTTGAGGATCAGGAGTAACTTGTTGGTGATGTTCTGCTTCTTGGCGTACTCCTTGAGGTGCTTGGAGAGGTAACCAATCATATAACTCTGGCACAACACCGTCATTACCCAGGCCTCCTTGTTGGAGCACCAGATGACTGGGAGGTGCTCCTTAACCTTCTCCCGCAAGAGATAAGTTTTAAAGTTTTTCAGTTCAAAGATTACATCTCTGAGGCCCCCATGCCAGGCGAGACAGCTTTATCAATCCCCCCCGCCCCCAATAAAACTTGTTTTTATTGCCATAAACCATATACAGGGTGTCTCAAAAGTCCCCATACTCAAAGTTTGGCAATTTATAGTAGTGTAATGGCTAACGATAGCCATCCACGGTTTCACGCAGCACGTGCTGGCAACGTTGCAGAAGATTGTCGAGTAACGTACCGGTCACGTGACTTCGCGCACGAGCGGGTAGAGGGACATAAGTGTGAGTCAGTCGACAATGAGTCTTCCGCGGGCACAGAAGGTTACTCTGTTGGAGGCGTACTTTGAGTGCAAATGTAATCAATGGTGTGTTGAAAGCCCAATAGCCCAACACCATGTAAGACTTATGTTTATGAACCGGTGAAACGTTTTTGTGACACAGGAAGTGTGAAAGACAGACCAAGAACCGGACGGCGGTCAGTAGTGACACCAGAGTTTGTTGCAATCTGTATCACTGCACAAAACCTGATGAGCCCCTGTAAATGTACTAGTGAAGGGGACTGTACCTGTACACATCTCACTTCACAGTCACATTAACTGAGTGAAAATATTACTGTAATGTACAGTATTAACCTGTAGTGTACTGTACATGTATACTGCACTATATGTCTCACTTCACAGTCACATTAACTGAGTGAAAATATGACTATGATGTACAGTATTAACCTGTAGTGTACTGTACATTTATACTGTACTATATGTCTCACTTCACAGTCACATTAACTGAGTGAAAATATTACTGTAATGTACAGTATTAACCTGTAGTGTACTGTACATGTATACTGTACTATATGTCTCACTTCACAGTCACATTAACTGAGTGAAAATATTGCTGTAATATACAGTATTAACCTGTAGTGTACTGGACTGTAAGAAAAAACCAAGGATAACAACATAGGCACAATGATATCGGCCAGCACACACAGAACACATGTTCACGAAAAGAGAAGTGAAGCAATATACAATCACAAAAACACAGAATATATCACTTGACAATCACCATAACACAGTTCAGTCTAAATATTAGTGCCGTCCTCTCACTATAAAAGAAAAAAACACCAACGATAAGTACGACACTGGCCAATAATTGTGGAGCCATGCGAAGGTGGGTTTATGATCGACATACAACCAAATGCGGGGCAGTAGTGCACGGATTGGCTGTGTGGCGGGGCGTGGGCAGGCGTACAAGTGAAGGTGTAGATGCATGGTGCATAGGGTTAAATATTGTTTCCTTATAAAATATCACTGATTTGACAAAGAAAAATATAATTCACCCAGCAATGGATTTTTCAGAAAACTAATCCCATCGTATCTGGAGGTTTACTTGTACTGTCACTGGAGGAGAGAACTATTTGGACACAAATTGTGGCGTCGGACGGGGAAGTGTCCTGTCTCCGGCCCTCTTTGTCATCTACTGTATGTGGTCCAATTAATTAGAGAAGATGGACAAAGAGATGGAATGACTGAGACATTCACTCACGCGGACAATGTGGCCCAGACGGCGAGTACAGATTTACCTCACTATACCAATGGGTTAGGTTCCTTGAAAACCATTCATTGGGTGCCTATTTGTATATTGAATACCATAACATATGGGAAATATAGGGTTCCTCATTGACGAGAAAACCACAATATTATACATAAAAAATTAAAGCAGTTAAAAGATAATGAAAAAACCCTAACTACTGTACTGTAATTCAGGAAGAATGTTGGCACTCTCTATCCACTTTTCAAAGACTCAAATATGAGTAAAAGTCCACATGTACAACACCGTTCTCAAACAACACTTTTACACGGAAGAGAGACTTGGGTATTATACAAAAAATTAAATAGTAAAATAGAAGCTGCAGAAATGTGGGTCATCACACTTATTGTGGGAGTGACTAAAAGAGAGAATTAGAAACACCAGCATAAGAAATACCTTAGGCCTAGAACCTACTGTGACCCAGGTGGAAGGAAACCAACTAAGACGGTGCGGTCACACGGGAAGAACGTCACCGACGAGAGACCTCGAGCTCATACGCGATTGACAACCACGAGGTAGAAGACCCGTTGGTAGACCCAGGACAAGATGACAAGATGGAATTAACAACAGGGATGGACTTAAGACCTCTGTCAAGATGGAGCTGCACGGAGAGGACACGTCAACACGGTCTACTCCACGTCTGGGTAAAAGGTGTGTGTTGGAATGTAACTGTGCACATTAGGTAGAATCTATTGTACTTTGCTGTTATTAAATTAATTTGTGTATGACTCCTTTCCTATGTGGGACAGATCATTAGTCCAGATGGTAAAGCAACAGTTATAACTACACTTGTTAATAATTCTTTCTACTGAGCCTAAACCTGGATAGTCCTTCAAATCATGTGAAAGTGGGGGCCATAGGCAGGGACAGTGTGGATACAGCACACTGTATACTAAGCCTTCGGTACACAAGGAGGCAGCATGGCCGGTAATGAACTCCACCCCATTCACTTCCCCAAGTTCTAAACTTAAGGTGCACATTTACAGCTGGGTGAACAGGGAGTGCCCAGGAATCAAACCACTGACCCCTGGATCAGGAGGCAAGTGCTGTATCCACTCAGCCACCATGCTCCTTCAAGCCATGTACAGCTCCTCCCCGACTTACGACCTACTCGACTTACGACAACCCGCACTTACGACCTTCCTCAGTCGTACCAAAATTTTGTCAAATTACGTATTTTCGAGTCCCAACTTCAGTACACAGACAAAATTTTTGTTTGTAATTCACTTTAAAATGGCTGGCAAGCTTAAAAGTGAGTGTTTTGTGGTGCTGAGAAGAAAAAGAGACAACCATTTAAGATTTTCTATGTATTATTTAAGCATTTTCAACTTACGACCTGGATTTGGGTCTCTAACCCTGTCGTAAGTCTGGGAGGACTTGTATTGTATAAATCAATAATAATAATAATAATAATTTTCTATTAATATTACTTTAATTTTTTATCTTAGTGCGAAAAAGGTCTTAAGATGTTAAACTCACAGTTAATTTGTTTGTATTGATTTTATCAAATTTCTCCAAGATGGTGGAGGCTGAGTCTCCCAGATGAAGGGGGGCAGCTGTGGCAACAGCCTCTGTGGGTATCATGTCCAGGGCCAACCTGATGCTCTCCTGCACCTGTTGTTAACAACACAAATATTACTGGACATCAAAGACACATTAAAAGATGGAACCATTAAAATAATACCACTGATGTGATGTTGAGCACAAGAGTGAAGCTACAAACACTTACAACCTTTCTGACATATTAAGTGAATTAAAATGGTCAAACCTACATAAGAGCAAAAGGTTAGTTTGAGTCATTCTTGACCAGAGTCCCTATGAATGACATACTGGATTATTAACACCTGTACTGTACTGTACTGTGCAGTACTGTGTTGTACTGTGCTGTGCTGTGCTGTACTGTACTGCACTATGCTGTACTCATAAGTCAACAGCATGTCAGTTTTATTATAACTTTGTCTTTTCATTCTAAAATTATTACATAAACATGAGATTTATTTTATTGTGAATCTTTCCAAGTAGAAGCATCAATGGAGAAGGCCAAGTCTCCCAGCTGGGGTCTTCCTCTCAACGACTTATGGACCAATTTGTCTTAAAAACTTTGTTAACATAAAGGTGCGTCTGTGTACAAGTAAAGGAATATACTTGTATTTTTTAAGACCTAAATTGTGTGTAAATGTTTTCAGTCTCCTGAGAAAGAATAAAGTGTATGATTTTAATCATTTATACATGATGCTGCATTAAGTGATGTTAAAGAAATTATTCATATGCTGTGTCTTCTTGTTAGCAACTGGGTGAAGTACCAAGTGTAAAGTTACTTCACCTCACATGAGAAAGTCAACACTTGGATCCTAACATTTTGTTGAAATAACCATCAAGTGATTTACTGAAGGAACTGTACACAACAACCATCAAAGATCACCAAATGCTATTACTGTAAATATTATGGTTTAGTAGCCTCCACTAACATACCTTCACTGAGGTGTGGACAGTGTTCACGTTTGGGAATTGTTCCTGGCACTTCTGGATCCAATCTTCTGTCACCACACTACGCCGATCAGCGTCGTCGATGGCCATGCCGACCTCCTGAAGAGAGTTGACTGTGTCGAGGCACTCCAGCACAGCCTGCAGCTGCTGCTTTTCTTCCTCTCCTTCAGTGCTCATATCCTCCACACTGGTCTCCTCCTGCTCCACAAGTTCTTTTGCTGCCTTGTTTTGTTCCAGCAGACCATTCAGTCTGTCCTCAAGAAGCTTGTGTTCAGTTTTCAAGCCTTTCACCTTCTTCCCATAGTTTCCCAGCTGGGACAGTTTCTCATCACAGGCAGTGATGAGGTTGATGACCTTGTTCATCTCCTCCTGCAACAAGGACCGTAACTTCTTGCTAATGCCTCTGGGTCCATCTTGAGGAGGTTTTGTTGGTGCTTTTGTTTGTGCTGGCTTGAACGACACACCTTTAAGTCTCCTTATGAATGATTCCATCCCATAGTTTATGGGAAGTTGAGTTACATCAGTAACAGCCAAAGTGTTGTGGTCAGCACAGCAGTTGGGACAGGTGAACTGAGAGTTCTTTATCATGTCAACAATGCAGACAGTGCAGAAGGTGTGGCCACATGGCAGACACCGCGGGCGATGAAGACCTTCGTCAAAGTTGTCAAAACAGACATTACAGTCTTCTGGCTTGTTGTTATCCTGTGAAGAAGAAGAGCATCTTGTCAGTGAATATTAAAACATCATGATATATATATACAGTTGTACCCCACTTAACGCGGTCAATTGAACCCAGAGGGTCCCGCGTTAAGTGAAAACCGCGTTAAGTGAATAACAGAACATATGGGATTAATTCCAATAGAACCCAGCCCGACCCCCAAACTCCACTTTTTGACGACAAATAACTATGTTGTAGTAAAAATTCTATCTTAACTTTATGGTGGCATGAAAAACAAGTAATATAGAAGAGGTTAGGTTAGGAAAGATAAAGGTTAACATAGGAAAAATAAAGAATAGGTTAAAAAACGAAAATTTTTGAGGAACACTCACGGTAGTAGAAGAGATGGGTCGGCATACGGGGATGGAGGCTGGTTCCGAGGCAGAGGGCAGATTACTGCCCCTCAGGTGAATCACCATTACTAGGTGAATCACCATTACTAGGTGAATCAATATCACTGTCACTTACAGTTGTTATGGCTTCCCTGACAAATCCCTCAAAATCAACTTCACTATCACTATCACTGGCTTGGGCTGGCTGTGGTGGGTTGCGGGCGAAGAACTCGGTTATGCTTTGCTGACGGCTGGCTTTGATGTTGTCATGATACACCGTGATGTACGGCTCCATAGCCTGCACCAGTCGGGTATGGAAGACGTCATGGCGTTCATCGTCAGTGTCGCGGGAAACGATGGCCTTAATTTTTTCTGTTAACTCTATGAGACACTTAATATCACTATGACTTAAACTAGGTTCTTCGGAGAATGACGCACCTTCTTCCTCCTCTTCACTGGCGGGTTCTTCTTCCAACATCTCGTCGGCAGTCACTTCAGGATCTCTGATCACCTCCATGATGTCTTCGTTGGTGGTCTCGGAGAAGCCTTCAGCTGTAATACTGAGCGCAGCTTCTCTGGCAAGGTCCACTGCTACTGCAACAGTCTGAACCTGACCAGTCACAGGTTCACTCTTCCTCTCACCTGGTATGCCATGCAACACATGTCTCCATGCGTGACGAATCGTAGCAATAGTCAGCAGATTCCATGCCTCCACCAAGAAGTCTACAGCTTGTTTGACGTTAAACTTCTTCCAAAATTGTTTGACGAGAAGTTCTTGAGTCGCCGCCTCTTGTTCCTTGTCCTCGTCGCTTTTACTCTCGCTGTCGGTGTCACCCAGCTTACGCAACTCATCCTTGGTGTTGGTAGAGTCGTTCAGGAGCTTGAATTTCTTTGCCGAGTATGCAGCTTTAACATTGCAGATTAACTCCTGGTCCATGGGCTGGATTAATGACGTAGTGTTGGGAGGAAGGAAGACCACTTTTACGTTGGGGTGACGATCCATAAGTAGGGGCGAGTGTCCAGGTGCGTTGTCAAGGAGCAACAAAATATTGAAAGGAACATTCTGTTGCTCGCAGAATTTCTGCACGTCAGGAACAAAACAGTTGTCAAACCAGAAGAGGGACAGAGAAGAGGACATCCACGCCTTACGTGCGGTTAGCCAGTGGACATTAAGCTTGTTCATGTCCATATTCTTGTAGGCGTGCGGCTTGCGGGCTTTGTGAATCACCGATAACTTTGGTTTACAGGTACCGGAGGCATTGGTGGTAAACAGGACGGTGATGCGTTCCTTCTGCATCTTCCGGCCCCTTACCTTGCTCGCAGACTGGACAACGAAGGTCTTGGAAGGTAACTTTTTCCAGAAAAGACCAGATTCGTCCATGTTAAACACCTGGTCGTCACTGTACTGTCCTTCCTCCATAATCTCACGTAAAAACGGAGGAAAATCTCTAGCCGCCGCACGGTCAGCACTCGCTTCCTCACCAACAATGCTGATGTTGGTGACCTTGTTCCTCCTCTTAAACCTATGCAGCCAACCATGGGAAGCATTGAAGGGTTTGGGCTCTGCAATTCCCAGTTTACGTGTCACTGCTGCGTATAGCTCACGTGCGTACTCCTGCACTGAGCGCGTGTCCACCGCCATGTTGCGTCGCGCCTGACGCACCAAATAACTCACCAGCAAAGTTTCCACTTTTGCCAGCACCCTGTTCTGGCAATACCTGATAGATGAAGCACCTGCAGACTTTGTGATCTTCATGTGCTCCTTTATCTTGGCTGCATCCTTCTTTATTGTACGAATCGTAGATTCGTTGACGCCATGCTGGCGCGCGAGATCAACTTGGCGTCTTCCTTTCTCCAAATCTTGAACAATTTGGTACTTCAGCTCGTAGCTTAATGAACGTCGTGTCTTCTTTGGTTTAGTGCCGCTGGGTCCAGGTAAGGAAAGGTTTCTCTCTGGGGGTGGTGGTCCGGCGGAAGCCATTTTACGGAACAATGGATGCGCGTTAACCCGGCGTGGCCTTGAGGGATGAAACTGCCGCGGCTAGGTCAAGCGTCGTCTCTCCTCCCTCCCTCCCTCCCCGGGGTAGTCACGTCATAATACTTTAAGCCAATTACAGCTAGCAGCAGAGGGGGGTAGGGCTGCATGGCCAATCACAGTCCGAGACGTCATATGACGTCAGTGATAACGCAACAAAGACACACACTGCGCAACCTTACCGCGCCGCTTACCCAAGCGGAGGGAGGAGGAGGGAGAGGCAGGCAGGCAGGCGGGCGGGTGGGTGGCGCGTGGGTCAAAATCTAAAAATAGCATCCGAGCCGGACACTCACCGCGTATGCTGTGGAAAAAACCCGCGTTAAGTGAAAGTTCAGCTTTGGCAAGGCACCGCGTATATGCGAAAACGCGTTAAGTGAAAGCGCGTTAAGCGGGGTAAAACTGTATATGCATATATATATATATATATATATATATATATATATATATATATATATATATATATATATATATATATATATATATATATATATATATATATATATATATATATATATATATATATATATATATATATATATATATATATATATATATATATATATATATACATATACATATATATACATATATATATATATTTATATATATATATATATATATATATATATATATATATATACAGGACTCGACTTATGACTGTTTGACTTTACTAATTGCCGACTTACCACCTCAATTAGTTAGACCATTTTTTTTTTTTTTTCAAATGACACACACGATTTTCTATAACGAAACGTTTCCAGTTAATGTAGTCTCCATGTATAATTAGAAAATTATGGGGCCCCTGTGCATTCAGCTGACTATATTAAAGATAAGTGCTCAAACACTGTATCCATTCTCATTATTTATTACTTTTACTGTACTTATGTCGTAAGTCGGGTCTAGCTGT